ACTAAAGTAAAAGATGTTCCACTGTCAACGAGAGCTTTCACGTCTTTTCCATTAGCTTGCGTGGGCACGTACACTAGCTTGGCGTACTGAGTAAGAAAAATTTTTTCTTGTATTTGAGACAAGATGTCGTCAGACGTTCCTTTCATTATTGCACGCTTTTTTTTCTGTCTCGTGTTGTGTTTCACAGATGAATCTGGTTTGCTAAGCGCGTCTCGCCATCCAAGAGCTGAAAGCGTTTCGGGCGTGCTCACCGCTGTCGCCGTAGAATGTGGCTGTCGAACCAACAGCTTCATGACCTGTCGACGTTTGAGGTCTTCGAAGATGAAGATGGTGCTACATGCATTTAGGAAGTCCCAAAACTATCAGACACACAAGTGATGTCTAAGAGAGAGCAGGATCTGCTGCATGCAATAGCTTCCATTTGTAAAAAAAAAACCGTTCATAACAGAACTAGACGAGTACGTCAAGGCTAATGCACGGTCCCAACTCTAAAACCTGTTTTCACAGAAAGTTTACAGAAGTTTAGCCTCCATTCTGCCCAAGTATGTTCGGCCTTGCTGTTGCTCGTAACTCGTGCCACATCTTCGCGACGCCTCCCAAGTACAATGGCATGTTCATTACTTTATCACGATCGTCTTGCCAACAATTTCGATTGCACGCATATTCATAAAAGTGAAGCCAAGCCTGGGAAGTCATTGATGGTGATCCACTGTAGACCTCCGGCTTAATTATTTCTCTTGGTGTTTTTGGGTATTGGTCAGTGCGTGTTCGCGTTATAAGCTCCAACAGATGTTGATGTCGATATCTGTTTCCTTCTTGCAGCTTCATTACAGCTTCAAAAATATCATTACTTCCTAAAACACTTTTTGTGTCAGTGAAAGCCATATCCGCTTTCGCAAGTCTAGCTTTCCATGGTCTGTCGTCACTATGCCACCCTGGAGTATGCGCGGTTGCCACTTCAAGTTCGTGATCACTCATTTTTCCCAAGGTGTCCCTGAACAATCAAAACTCGTGTGAACATGTCGTACTTCCACCATAGACACACCATACAACGCTCACCATCTTGACATCATTTTCACGGCTCCCAGCGATGTAGACGCACATTGTCCTACGGGAGTTCTGGCCGCTCAGGGACGTAGCACAGGATCCTGTCGGCTGCGCCAAGTTTGTAACGACGCCGAGAATCACAGAGCCAACACGGTCGCCATTATTGTTTATTTCTGTTCCTCCTCTTCCTCCGCCTCCAAGGACTGCACCCTTGTCTCTTCTTTTCCGTCTTCTTCCTTACATTGATGCTCTGTAGATTTCTTCCGGGATGTTTATATATGCTTTCTCGACGCCCTGATTCCACAGTGTCTGCATGACTGCTGATATTTTTACTGAATCAAATGCCTTCTCTTAATCTATGAAGGCTATGTATAGTGGTTGGCGGTATTCTGAGCACTTCTATATTACCTGATAGATAATATGAGTGTGGTTTATTGTTGAGTAGCCTGTTCTAAATCCTGCTTGTCCCTTTGGTTGATAGAATTTTAATGCTGGCTTAGTTCTGATAGCAATTTGTATACGGCTGAGAGCAAGCAGAGCGGCCTGTAATTTTTCAAGTCTTTGTCAACTCCTTCCTTATGTATTAAAATAATGATTATATGTGAGGTAATAAAGCGAAAACAATGACATGACACGCTCATAGCCAATTCACTCTATCGAGATGCGCCAAAATTAGTATTGCATGAGGTTATTGTATAGACGAACATGTATGACAGGTGGTAACGTAAATATATATGATGACACGCATGTCACGTACACCATACCTTACGTGATATGATTATGATGAGCCCGTGGCTATTACACTCGCTTGAAATACACTAAAACTGGAGTTGTCTGATGTCCCTGTACGATCGAAACACGTGACAGGTGGCATTAGGACAATAATGATTTGCATGTGATGGATATCATAGTTTGCATGTCACACTCGTCGGGAGCTCGAATTCATTTAGCGCAGTTGATATACACCAAAATTGGCATCTTGTGACGTGACTGTATGATGAAGATATCTGACGGGTGGTGACAGAAAAATAATTACATGCATATCATGCATGCTATGACACGCTCATGGTGAGCTCACTGCCGTTTCACTCACCTGAAGTGCACTAAAATTGGGATTGCCTGACCTGACTATATAATGAGCATCTACGAAAGGCGATGACATAAACGATGACATAAACGACCGACATGCCACGCTCTCAGGGAGCTCCTGGTCGTTTCGCTCGAATGATATACAGCAAAATTGGTGTTGCGTGACGTCCCTGTATCACCGACATGCATGATAGGCGGTGACATGAAAATTTGGGGCATCTTAAGTTTCGCCTTTAAGAATTGAATGCGATAGCGATATCCTACTGGAAACTCATAGTACATATCTTTTATTGTATGGTGTTGATCGAGAAGTTTAAATTCGGGGTTACAATGTAATCGATAAAGTTGGAAGTGGCTTGTGTCAGTGAGTCTTTCGCATATGGCCGCATTTTGTGTAACGGGTAGCATGCGTTTAACCCCGAGCAATCATGCGCGTGAGCCAGGTCGCGTCAGAAAGGTATTCTCTTGGAGGGTGCAAACCCTTGTTGAATCGGGGCTGGTGGAGAGGGAGAAGATTGGTGTATGATGAGGGCAAGTGCTGCTTTGGCTTGAGGGGTTAAAGTGCCCCATTTGCGCTAATCTGCCGACGTCCATGCGCGTTAAATGTTTTCAAACTCACTGTACGCCCAATACACGTGCTCAACGTGCTGTAACTTGTGAGCCTTTTGTAATGGGTGGCCGGCTTTAAACGACGAAGTCGTAATAGTAATCATGCGTTCTACTTATTCTTGGTGAATTCCCCTGAGTGGATGTAAGTGATACATATATAGTCTACTACCACCACCACCATCATCATCATAATCATCCTATGGCAATGTATGGTTGTACTACGCAATATTTCGGCGTTATTACATGTTGTATTGTGAAGCCTGTGCAGGACGTGTGTGTTTGTGAAGCTAGACAGTTATTTTTACTGCACTTCTTAGCAAAACAAGTTATTTTCGCTGTATTTCGCTGTGGTAGAACAGCTGCTTGCGGCGCAAACGGTCTGGATTCGGTCCTCACTCGGAGCCGTAAATTTATTTAGTTTATTTGCGTCTTTCTCGATTTTTCAATCACGGACGAGATGATGATTTTTAACTCACAAGCAACGGCGCCGACGCTTACGACGACGCCGGAATTTCTGCGAAACGAGCTCTTCAACACTGTCTCGTTAAAATATGGACATGCATTTCATGCATGGCATTATTTGCATGCCATAGTCACAATGAGCTCGCGGTCATTCCGCTCGCTTGAAATACACAAAAATTGGTGTTGAGGAACGTGATGGTGTGACGAAGATATATGAAGGGTGGTAATAGGAAAATAATGACTTGCATGCCGGGCATGGCAAAATTTACGTGCCACGCTCATGATGAGCTCATGGCCGTCTCGCTATAGATTGGTATTCGGAAAAATTATACTTTAGAAGAGTGGAAATTTGGGCTAGTTGGGGATGCATGCTTGGTGAAATGAAGCTCAATGAAGGAGAGACCGACAGGATGAGTCGCTGCTGACTACTGTTGGAAGTAGCGCTTTGGTCTGTCTATTCTTCTACTGTCCCGTTTATTGCGCTTCTTTCACCAATGAACAAAAAAAATAGTATTGGGCCACGTGGCTGTATGTGGAGCATTTATATAACAGGGGGTAACACGAAAATATTGACATGTGCGTCATGTGCTCCAGAATCTTACATGTATACCACTCCTTACAAGCTGCTTCGCATAACATCGATTCCCCCGTGGTGCGTGAGATCTGCCGAATTTCATCATAGTAGGAGTAGATGAGCGAATACAACATATTGATGGAGTAAATGAGGGCAATTCGACTTCAAACTGCTCTTGGATTGAAGCGATGTCATATAGCCCTTTGAACGTGTATGTTGGATCCTCAGTGACAAGTATCTTGAGGCACTTATGGGGGGGGAGGGGGGGGGGGGTCAGGTCGGCTTCAGGACGAGGAGTTACAAACAAGCTGTCGGTAAGCCACTAGTTCTAGTGATATGAATGGCATAGATATATAGTTGCACAATGTTTTAAATCTGTGTTATGTGTCAAGAAAAGCTGAAATTTTCGCGTTCAAGAATCAGCATACAAATATATAAAAATTCAGGCAGCTTTCAGAATTTGGGGGAATCAATTTCATGCCACACCATCAGCAATTAGGTAGCAGAAATCCTTATATATGCCACATGTTCTTCGCTTTGAGCCAAGCCTTATCAAGTGAATCGACGTCATTGCGTAAACTGTGTAGGTGTACATCGAGGCACTACCACGCACGTCTACTACAATTGAACGTGTTTAGATGTGAATGCGGCGCTAGTGTTGGGGCGTACACGGCTTTATCGAAACAGGTGCACGCTACTTTGTGGTGATTTCTATATGATAAGTAGCAGCTGTCGTTGCTGTATGCCTCTGGGGATGAGCGATCCTCTCCTACGGCTTGGTGTGTTATAGGAGTACATAAGTAATCTTTATTACTCTTTTTTCTGGATCATTGCCGAGGATCCCGAATTAAAAGCCGATTGAAAAGCCAGTGGTTGTTTCCTTCGATGTCTTGGCATCGAACGAAACAATTGCTGGCTTTCAAACTTTTAACCACTTGCAAACATTAAATAACGGGGCATATTTGATTTTTAGGGAGGGCTATTAAGGCAAAAATTTGTAGTAACATGCCGGATCAACGCTGGTGATGTCCTTATCAAATGTCCGCAGCTCTACGCTAATGAAAACTGAAACTGAAACTTCCGCACAAACACGGCGCCTTGATTCGGGATGACGGTGATGAAATTGCTAGCCGTTTTAAGCGCGACTCGTGTTTTGCGTCTGGCAACAAAGCCCTTTTTGTTTGTTTTTCTAAGCACGCACACCGTCGTGTTAGCTGCGAAGTGTGTGTCGCCGGTTGTGCGCGCGATGAGTTTCTCGTTGTGCAGCTAACGCGCAGTGATAGCGTTGTAACAGCCAGCTAATGTCATTGTAATACCCGCATATTGACGCATATTGAGTGAAACATGGCGATGCTGAAGCGCTCGCACAATACCTGCCTCGTCAAAGGTAAGTGACTTGTTCCCTACCAAGCTATTGGACGACGTATGCGTGGCGACCATCCGTGTCGAAAAAGAAATATAAAAAATGTTTGAAAATGACGTGGGTGCCTTGGCAGGCCTCAAACTTCACACATAACTATAGAGTCGGCGATGGATCAATCTGAGAGTTGTGCTCGTTGGCGAAGTGTCCTTAACGAGTGTTCGCTATGAGCCCGATTACGAACAGCTGAGGGCCTGATGAAGAGATCGTTCTTTTACTGCGATGACTGCGGTCGTTCTTGAATTAATCCAGTGCGCCGATCGGATGACGAGATCGTTCTATATTCTCACTTCTGAACAAGCTTTCAAGATGTTTCTGCGCATGGAGGTCACGGCATCTGCCGCAGTACTTGTGTTCACTGAAAGTCTCGCTCTGGTTGACAGTGCAGTGTTCTCGAGCACTCAGTTTCTCATAGGCAGCGGCGCTGAATACGTTACTTGCATACGAGAGAAATCATTTTGCATTCGTGCTCAATAAAATGTGAAAAGGCTTTGGCTCATTAACTGTTAGTGCCTGAAATGGCACCCATATTTGTACCGCATGTGACTGGTAGACGCAGAAGGACGTGGGGCCTATACTTATTAGTAACTTGATTACGTGCAAACTGCTGTGGCTGTTCATGAAAATGGAGTTATCAACTTAGGCAATTTTGAGGTTTAATAACTGACTTAGAAGTGTGGCAGCTTGGGCCAGTTGGTATGACATGACGATAAGCGCGAGAACAGAACGATGACACAGAGACTCCGTGTCCTTCCTGTCTCTGTGTCGTCGTTCTGTTCTCGCGCTATAACTATCGTCATGTTAATAATTGACGCGTGAATTCTCGACCGCGGTGCTCTAGTTTTGAAACTTCGATAGGACTAGTCCTACTGGGAGTGTGTGATTCGCGCGTACTGCGTGAGGTAGAGAGTACTATTTACACGGTTTCATCCACGCTAGCGCTGTTATCCTCAGAGGGAGTTCCGTCGAAGTGCTTTGTATGCTGTGCCACCTCTTGGAAAGTCTAAGAAAAATGTGGCATAATATCTGATTTTTGGTTGAAGTTATCGTGCCTGATACATCGTTTTTTTTTTTTTTGCTCTAAAGATTAAGTCAGAGCTTTTTCGAAGTTTGTCAGCGCCCACCTCCCTTTTTCAGTGCCTGTGGTACGCCTCCTATCAACAATTATTATGAATCGGTGAGACCACCGTCAGCACATATTAACAGTAGTTACAGTATAGCTGTCTTGCGATGATAGCAGCTACTAAGAACATCACAGCATATCCACGGAGTGAATGATGATGAGTGGGGCGAAGCGTCCGTCAACCCGTCCGTTATTCCGTCCGTCCGCGCGACCATCCGTGCGTCCATCCATGCGTCCGTCCGTCGGTCCATCCGTGAGTCCATCCATCCATCTGCCCGTCTGTCTGTTCGCGTGTCCATCCGTCCGTCCGTCTGCTAGTCTGTATGTCCGTCCATTCGTGCGTCTATCTAAAGAACACTCCAAGTGCCGCCATCTCGCATCCCCTGTGGCACATACCCGCTCTAGAGCGGGTATGTGCCACCGGTGGTTACGTACTGCTACATACATACAAGGGATGGACAGATCCACGCCTCCCCTAAAACAAAAGAGCCAGATACCCTCCCTCCCCAGCTTTACATCCATTGACTGCCTCACCCCCTTTTTAAAATGGGTGACGTGGTCCACTTTTGTTGAAAAATGAAATATTTACAGCATAGCATATTCATTAATATAACCCTGAGCTCTTGTGCCTTGGCTTCTAACTGGTTCCGAGGAGAAATCTCTAGAAAATTTGAGTACATCTAGGTCCGTCAGCACCTGTGAATATATATGTCTGCCAATTTGCCATTGCAAGTTTTTAGTGAAGTATTACAGAAGGGGAAATTCGAAATGTTCTTGCAGATTAACTTCACTTTGCAAGAATGTGGCCATTATTTGTGCAGTATGGAGGTGAAAATCCAGGGCTTTAGTTTGGACTCATAGTGGAAACATTCAATCACAGCTTATTAAAATGCTAGTTGCATTATTATAATAATAAGGAAAGAATACACTGACCATGTAAACAACACAGATATAAGTTTTTTTAGATACACCTGATTCAGTTGTGTATAGCAGTGGTCATTTTCTTTCTATTTACCTTACCTTTGATGAACCTGTTTGTTATCAATACAGTTTTTATAGTGCAAGTGAATTACTCATAAGATCACACATCATTTGAGTTGTGTGACCATTTTTTATTGTTTTGTCTTACCAGAATGATGCAGCCTAGATTACTTTATGGAACAGTTTTGATGGCACTGTCATGTGGCAACACCTCCAGCATTTCAGCTAGTACCACTTAATGGGAGGACGGCATAATGGGCAAAGGAACGGACAGGAGTTGTGGATATCCTGACATCAAGCAAGAAATGGACCTGGGCTGGTCACGTAATGTGTAGAACATACAATGTGGTGGATGATAAGAACAACAGATTGGTTACGAATGGGATGGAAAATGCAGTCAAGGAAAGGAGAGAGTTGGATGGAGTGACGAAATTAATGGTGAATTCCACAGGCAGTTCCGGAGGGGCCAAAGAACTCTGCAACGGGAGCACCCCACTCTGGCAGAGGGCAACCAAAAGGAATCTATCAGTGAAACACAGGTGCTCCAGCTAGAGCTAATGGCAGGGAGCTCTATAGCACATGCGCTTCCAGTGAAATTTCAAAATGACACTCCAACGCAATATAGTCAGGTACAACGTAAGAAGGCAGGAGAGGCCCCGCCCAGATGACCGAAGTGCAGCAGTCAATTTGCTCCGCGACTTAAGAAATAGTCCCGCTCAAAAAATCGTGACTGCTTCTAAAACGCGTATTTGTTGGTATAAATAAAATTTGTGTATCATGATGAGTGCTTTGGTAAAGCTGTAATGATGGAAATACTACAGCACATGTCGGATCCCTAGAAAGAATTTACTCCATGCCTTCTACAACGCTGTGCGTCGTCTGCTATAAAGCAAGATCGACGGCACCGGGCGTGTAATTCAAAAGCAGTTGCTGGTTTCATAGCATAAGATTTGTATGAACTTTTTGTGTGTTCGAACAATCTTTTCTTTCTTTTTTTCAATGTGCCAGGCTTTTTTTTTTGTTTTTTGTTGCGAACCTGCGATCTCGTGAGTTGGCGCACGGCATTCCATGTCAGAGTAATTCAATTATATGAGTTGCGAAACTGCCTTCCGAAATCCGGAAACGCAGTTGGCCCAATTTATTGGGAGTTAGCTGAAATTCACGCCACCTGGGAGCGGCAACACAAAACACAAATAATGCCTTAATAGTAGGTGTGCGGATCGAAAGGTGGCACAACAATTTGCTCACTTCTGACAAGGGGGCCAATGATGTGTCCGGATCCTAATAATGGTTTTGCTCCATCACTTCGCCACGTTCGACGAGAAATGCACGAGCACAGTACACAAACACACTTGCCGCTCACTGTAGATATCACGCTTTGGCAAACTCTCCTCATCGCAACTTCACTTGTGTGCAAATAAGACGCCTTGAAACAAACACGCACAATGTTTGTTTGCATGGTATCTCGCCGCAAGATCCAGTTTTCAGACTAAGTGCAGCGTCAGCGATGTTCACTGGAATCTCTCTTCGCCTGCTCACGATTCAGAACAAACACACGCGGTAGAAATTGTGTATTGTAAGCTCACAATAATATTTCCAGCATGATAGATCACCACACATAATTTGAATTCACTCTGATGAAGGAAGACGCACACAGCGAACAGGACTCGGCCCAGTTCGAAGCGAGGGGTGGCCATGTTAGGCATGTTCTCCATTGGCTGGGTCAGAGGCTAGAATGTAGTCCGTCACATGACGTCACCTGAAGTGCGCGACTGTTGGTGGAGGCTCGTGTACATCGGCCTTTTATGGGGGAAAATGCCGCTGCCCTCTTGAGTTGCAGCTGACTATAGTAAATTTTTTTTTTTCCAAATTGCGACTTGTCCTCACAAGGTGCACATGGAGAGTGCATTGGTCAATCACGTGGTACACCCTGGCTGGTCATGTGGTACGCCACACACTGCATGTGCGGGATGCTCACGATGGAGCTCCTCTGGATCTGCCAATCGAACATAATTGCTACGCATGGAGCAGAGAAGGTGCTCAAAACTGGGAATTGCTCCAAACCTGCCAGTGGAAGACACCATAATAAGTCTGCAGAGATGAAATGGAACCACAGGTGCTACGGGAAGTGCTCCGAATTTCCATTAAAAGACACCATGATAAGTTTGCAGGAGTAAAAGGGAACCAGCTTGTGCAGAACTTGGTACAGTGGAGATACTGCGAGAAGCCTTCTTCATGTAGTGGGCTAAATTAGGTTTACAAAATTCGGAACATCCCACATACCTTGGGAATCGATGTTATGCGAGAAATGCGGAGAGAAGGTGACAGTGTTGTAATGTTTTTATTGATCAAAACATTACGAAATGTCACTAAATATATGTTAATGTACAAATGTTGTATTCTCAGACATATTAAACAGTCGCGTGTTTCTGTTGCGTAACAATGCCAACAGCAACATGGGTATTAGCAAGCACAAAAGTGGTAAGCGAATATGTAGCAATTGTTCCAGCGAGGCTGGTGGCCCTGGCCATCGCTCGATAAATGAGCTTCAGTAGATGTCGCTTCACTATGATTGTCGTTAACCTGACGGGACCGCTGTATCCGTTCGTCCGTCTATCTGTTCGTCCTTCATACTAGTTTGGGACTACAACTTCAAGCTATGTACATTAGGACCTATAGCTTTGCCCACTCGTCGTCATTCACGTCGTAGAGATGCACTTTTTTTTTCTTAATGCTCTTGAATTAAAATTACCATGTCTGTTTGCGTCGTTTGGTGGTTGATATGAACTGTCAAGCGCCTTCAGTTCATTGCACTCCACTACAGTTGACCTTAACGCGAGTGCTGTTTCAAAGGAGTACATATGTAATGTTAATAAAAAATGCTATAGCTATAACTGCATCACCAATTGACGCTTCACACACATTAGTCTACTTGAAAAGCAGTTGTGAGACTCGATATGGCTTTGTGCTAGCCATGCAGAATGACGGGGTTCAGTTCCTGCTGGGATCCTGACATTTTTTCTTTACATTTGTTATGTCAACGCAGCCGAGAGAGAGAGAAATGTACATTTATTTAGAAAACTGTTTCGACAGAGGCCCGGTGTCACCCTAAGGTGGGAGGGTTTCCTAGTCCAGGAACTCTCTGGCTTCGACTGCCCTCTTGGTCCTGGCGACGAGTTGTCGCTGGTCTTCCCAGCAACAACGCAGCCGATGTCAGATTTTTTTCTTAACGCTCACATGTTCAAATTACCCATATATGTTCTTGCCGTTCCTGGGTAAGGTATGTAGTGTTAGTCACCTGTGTCACATACACTCCTACCAGTAACACATACCCACCCGCAGGTATGTGCCACTGTTTGGTGATAAGTGTTTGATGATGTACCCGATCAGATTGTGACATTGTTCATGTCATGACCAGCGAGCCGTATTTTTCAAACCATCCTACCCTCTCATAATAATTTTGGTTTACTCCAAATTAAAGGAACACGAAAGAGAAACAATGAGTAGTTTTAGATTGATAAACCGCACTCTCAGAACTCGTTTCACTGTCATAAGTTTATTATTAGCAGAGAAAATCAAGGTTGAAGTTGTATTCTTGAATTTCACGCCATGATCTTCGCACGTGACGTAAGAAATTCCACAATGTACTTTTCATATTTTTGGGACATAGGCTTCGAAAATTTTCTGAAAGTTCGTATGCTAAGTTTATGGCGCTCACCGGTGACGGTGTATCAATTAGAAGGTACATAGTTTATCGACTAGAAGGTACATAGCACTTAGTTCACGCCTTCAAAATTTATGGCGTCACAGTGTCTGGTGCAGGAATCTTATAGTGGCGTCTCCACCTGCAGTATACTTGTGCATTTTCTCGCTTACCAAGTTTCATACGACGGTAAGAGTGGTATTTTCGGGATTGTGAAATAGTGGTTCACTAATATGTGAAAAAGCGTTTTGCTCTTAAGTGTCTCTTTAAGGGCGTTTTCACGAGAGCACCCAGACATAGGTGGCTAGATAGACAGACAGAGACTTCAAAAATGCTTGCAACGAGGCAAAGAAATACTTTGTATTTAAAGTTATGATGATGCTGATTATGATTACGTTTCTAAAGCAGCCAGTAGTCACTGCACATTTATGCTTCCTTGTGTACCAACATCATGCATGAACGCAGTTATGTTGGTGCACAATAGCAGTGCGTGCAGTATGTGTGCTTTAAGAAGCACGAACTGCTAAGTGAGATGGTAATTCATCTTAACTGGGGTGCATAAAAAAATTGAAGCACAAAAGGAAGACATTTAGACGCAGCGTGCCTGCGCTGTGTCTAGGTGTCTTCCTCTTCTGCTTTAATTTTTTCGCTCACCGCAGTTAAGGTGTACTTTTAAGTATATGGGTTGCCCTGTCTCTTCCATGGTACATTTAAAATTTGTTTTTTCATAGTCTTATGTTCCGCAAAACACCGAGAACAACGAATTTTGGACCCAGGACGGCTCTGAAAACTCAAATTCGTCATGTATAGGGCACACATGGGCTTCTGTATTTCATAGATGGGTAAGAGAAAGGTTTGTTTGGGAGATGTGATTACATTTTGAAGAAGTGGTGAAAGGTGGACTAGGCGAGTTTCATTCCTAAAATGATTACATGCAAATCACCGGTGGCCTGAGGCGATACATCCTGTTTGTTTTGTCTCTGGTCATATTGTTTTTGACTCGACTAAATTTAGCATATAGGCTATCTAGAATCGGTAACTCACTCACTGACTATTGTTATCATTTTAGGCTTTATCATTTTAGTGTGTTTTAGGCTGTTGGACTAGAAGCATGGCTGTCTGTGTGCTGCAACTGTGGGAAGGTTTGGGGAAATTGAGACTAATTTGTGACATATTCTGCAGTAAAGAAAGGGTTAAAGATTACGTGTGATAAGGAAGCCATGATCTCTGCAGTTTCTGGTTCTTTTCGCCATTGTGCTCGGTTGGTCTCGCCAGTGAAGGGAAGTTCATTATTCCTCTGTCTCCAGTAACAAATTTCTCATGTAGGTCACAACTGTCACAACGATAGTGTTGGGAGAAAGGTGGCATCTTTCTGATAGTATGGTCTTGCTGCATAGCATTCGGCCTAGCCATTGCATTGGTTGAAACACGTACACATGCATTTTACCCCCCTCTTTTAGGTTGTAAAACAAGTGTACTTGGGCAACACAGGTGCCAGAATATTTGCTTGTAAGCACACCATTACCTTTGTGAAGGCTCATGGTCAGTATTATTTTATACTAATAAATTGTTCTCCTGTGGTTATATGCAAAGAACAAAAATTATTCTGTAGTTCCACATTATCGTAAGAATAAAAACTATTTAGACAGTATTTTAAGTAATAATGGTTTCACAATATGATAGACATTAATTGACCTGTAACCACCCGGCATGCATAAACCACAAGTGAGCAGAGTTTAGAATGCATGGTAGGGGCATTTTTCTGACCTAGTATCACAGACCGAATTATAGATGGAAAAATCTCTCAAGATGTGTGAGAAACACTGAGTGCCTCATTTTCATGAATCAGTATGCTAGCATGTTCTATGGGAAAAGAAGGGCACATGAAAAGAAGCTTGCCTTAGCTTGTCTAGTAGTCCGATGTCAGGTTCTCCTCTACTGTCATTCCTTCCTCAACGTTTGTGACGCTTTCAAGCTCTGTGAGCTGGGTTGTACTGTTTCAATGTAACATGCATCTATGATTTCTATCAGCAAGCACAATTCTGTTTGAATTTCTTTCGCTTTCCCGTTTTTCCTGGAGTAATGATGTGCTCTTTGCAGGCCTCTTCGCTTCCTTGGCCGTAACATGCCTGGTCGGCCTCTACTATGGCTACCGGCTTATGGTGTCCAACGAGGCCAAGTTTTCATTTGGCCGGACTGCTGGTGGTAATGAGTTTTTTTTTTTAGCACCTTTCAGGAACAAACCTGAAAAATGTGTTTGGGAGGCATGCAGTGTTACATTTCACAGCTTGATTCATTTTAGAAATAGTGGTTGTTTTTGCATATACTGAAGGTCTGCAGTTTAAATTCCTCGATTATATTCCACTGAAGACAAAATGAAGAAAAAGAGAGAGAGACTTTTATTGTAAACACAAAGATTTCTGTCGGCATGTATAAATCACTGGCATACCACTCTGGATAGGGATGTGGAAGCGGGTTATAAGATTTCAGTAGACAGGGAAGAAAAGAATGATTAAATAAAAAATGCTCATCCCTTTTTGTAGGTGCACTCTGGGAACAGGGTTGGTGCGAGGTTTGGCTAATAAAATGTGATGCAAAAAGAGATTCTACTTTAACGAAAAAATCAAGTGCTCTTGACATAGTTTTTGATAAAAATGATGGTAATAACACTGTTGTCAATTTCCATGAGTGACGCGTTCCGCGTGTAAAAAACGAGAAGTTGCAGTCCACCTGACTAGCATCTCTTGCCTTCTGTAGAAAAATAGTGTTGATTATTATGATCACTTTTCGTGCTAATATTTTCGAAATCGCTTGTTATGTCCGTACTTTTCACTCACTGTTGATTGTGCATGAGTTATAAAAGATTGAGCTTCTTTGGATATGCACCTGTATGTCTTCTTGCTATGTAATGAAAAAGTGACATGCTGGGTTGTGTTTCATCTCACATGGGGTCTGCAATGCTGTCAGATGTGCAAATAACATTCATGGCATGGCATCATTGCAGTTCACTGTGTATATATTAAAATATCAGGTTTCACTGAAGAAACAAAACAAAAATATTCATGCATGTTACTGAGAAATTAAGCCCAGCATCAAGACTGCAATTAAGCCTAAAAGTTCTGTGAGCATCATGTGAAGTTTAATCTTTTTTTGCCTGCTCATGGAGGAAGGAATAAAGTGAGGAGAGCTCATTACATCACATATTGTGAAGCTGGAAGTTGGGAAGATAAGACAACTCCTCCTCGCAAGGTTTGTCACGCTTTAGCAGCTCCCGTATGCGCAACTGGTGCCGGCAAGAGGAAGGCGGGCCGCGTGAGACGATTTCAGACTCGCCGAGTGGCACTGCCACCGTTATCTGAGAGATGAGGTACAAAAGCGAAACTGTTGTGTTGATTAAGAGCAAACATGCTGCGATACTCACTTGTGGAGTGCCTGTTTGCCAATCACAGCCTCATTACGGCTCATATTGGGCATCTACAATAAACTTGCAGCTTTGCACTTCATGTTTAATCCACTGAATGAAATAGAGCAATGGTGCGAATCAGCCAGATAATTGCCACGGGCAAGCTGTTTTCTTCTGTAGATATGGTAAGCTCGGAGTACAGAATATAAAGTAACAGTGTAATGTTATCTTGCTTTTTAGCCAGGAGAAGCGGCTCCGAATCCTTCTCTGCCCGTGTGTGTCATGATACGTGTGCACGAGTTTCGTTCGCAGCAGCACAGGTTGGCCGACTGTGACCATATCGAACAAAACTTGGCCAAAGTTGAGGTTATCTTGTGGAAAACATTAACAACATACGTTAATTCAAACAATAAATCACCTTACTTCTTACTTTGTCAGGCATGTCTGTAATTCTTGACTCGGCAAACTCCGGGGAGCACAGTGGCCCGCATACTTCCTTCCGATAGTTGTGACCGTCGTACACAGAAACAGCTCATTGCCACCCTCGTATTACGATTCATAGGCGCTGCCGTTCTCGTCTTGTAATCGCTGAGGCACATCCTTCCATCGTTGAGGCACGCAAGAGTACAGTGCCCAAGGAAAACAGCAAAGCTGTGGCGCCAACAATTTTCGGAGAAGTGGTCGCGAGCTTCGAAAACAACCGCTTTCGAGTGCAACTCATATAAACTGAACTCACAACCGTGAAGATCAGTGCTCACTGCAGGCTTCTGGCACATTGCATTGTCCTTGAAGTCCAACAGCTGCATACAAATGCACATTCCGAACTCCAGCCATCTCTCGACAAGGTGGTCATAGGAGGGGTCAGGCAGATAACACAAGACAAGGACATGACCACAAAATCCTGGAACCCTTTTGCAAAAGTATGTAACTTCCACCACGCTTTTCGCTCTGTAGTTCGGATTGCAAAGGCCTCTCCTCAGCTTTCCTTCCTCCATGAGCGGGCTGTATAGGCAAGGCTCATGAATAAAGAAATAACAGCCTCAGAAGATGCAGTCTGTGATATGCCATGCTGGTGAGAAATTTGAAGGCAGTGGTGCCACTTGTCTCCTTTTCTTACACATTTTGGCAGCTTGACATGCCTTCTTTAACAAAGGTGGCTTTCTCGTTGGTGAAGGTGTATCTGTATTTTACTTATGAAGTGCATCTCAATTTTCTTCGGTGTATTTTTAAAGACAACGATTTTCTCTGCAACTCAATGTGCCATCAGGTGAACCTCTGGTCGAGTCTGATGAAAGTGGCCCGGGTGCTCCTGTACACGTGGTGTTGGTGACGTCCAATGCCGGGCTGGGAGGTGCTGTGGCGGCCATGGTGAGCATGGTGCGCCACAGTCGCCGGCCGACGTCCTCGCTGCGCTTCCACGTGGTGACGGACAATGCGACCCAGTTTCACCTACACGCCTGGATGCACCAGGCACAGCTGGCACAGTTCCAGTACGAGGTGCTCACCTTCCCTCAGGCTCAGCTTGTCGCTCCCGAGCTGGTCACCATCCTGCAGGTGAGGGACCTCAGGACACTGAGTTTCAGAACAGTCAGTCGTGTGAGGGTATCAGCAAATCAGTTAAAAGGGATGCTAAAGTGAATAAGTTAACTTGTTTCCATTGCATACCTGCCAGGTCTCCCGATTTGCCCGAGAGATTCCCGAATTTCAACCACTTTGTACGATTGTACGACCGAGATAGAAATTTCCCGAAAGTGCCTGCGTGTTTGTCTCAAAGCGGGCCCTAGTTTGGCAATTTAGCACGAATGCACACGCGTGGAGTGCCGATTGTCATCGCCATCGTTGAAGAGCTTGAATGTGCGTAGTCGACCAAGCGGAGCCGTCGCAAAAACGAGCGAGCCTGCCAGTACTTCTCCGAGTATGTGAATGCAGCGCCGCCGCTCTGTGAGCTATGAGGCGCAAGGCAGGTGTTGTGGCGCTGGCGTCAGATTCTGCTGTATTTTCCACGCTGATGTCACTGAGTGATAGCACTGACACCGCTGGCACATTGACTTGCCGTTCTTTTTATGAGCGTTGCTTGTGTTCTTGTGTCGCGAGCTCTGTTAGCGTGGCTAGCGCTGTGCCGCGTTGCTGTCTGCAATGGCACTCAGCAAAGAGCGAAAAAATATCTTCAGGTGTTCTTAAAGCAGTGTACGACAGAGTTCGGTTGTGTTATCGCCTCGCGGAAAGGTGAGCACCATGCGTTCTGCACCATTTGTAAGTGCGACATCAGTATATCCCACGGCGGCAGGACTGACGTGGTTGCGCACATTTCATCGAAGAAGCACACCAACAATGTTCAGTGCCAGGAGAAACAGCATCTAATGCAACAATTTTTCGGTAAATTAGACGGTGACAATGATGTGATACGTGCAGGAGGTTTGTTTACCGCTTTTCTGCTGAGCACAGCATTCCGTTGAGTGTCTCCGAACACATGGGACCCTTGCTGCAGAAGATGTTTCCAAAATGCAATGTTGCGAAGCGCTACGGCTGTGCTAGAACTAAGACTACAATGATTGTCGGCGAAATGGCAGGCCATGCACAAGAGTGTGTGGTGAGTGCCTTAAAAAGACGAGTTTTTGCGGTTGCCACTGATGGCTCGAACGACAGCCAGGCACAGCTGTGCCCCATCGTGGCCACCTTCTTTGCGGAAGAATCGGGCCTTATCGAGAGCAAACTGCTTACCTTAAGCACCCTAAAAGGCCCTTCAACAAGGCGCAACATCGCCAAGTTAATTATGGACAGTTTTGCGTCATTGAATGTGCCGTTGTCTAATTGCATAGCTTTTTGCTGTGACAATGCCAACGTGATGATGAGTAATAAGAATGGCGTAGCAGCAGCGCTGACCGAGGCCCATGAAAGCATTGTGAAAATTGGATGCCCATGCCATTCAATAAACATTGCGGCTGAAAAGGCAGCTTCTTGTCTCCCAGCGAAAGTGGGCGAAGTCCTTGTGGACATTTTTTATTATTTAGAAAGAAGTGCTAAAAGAAAAAGAGTTTCACGAACTGCACAATAAGGAGTTTCGCAAGATTCTAAAGCACGTTCCAACCAAATGGCTTTCGCTGGGAAAATGCCTGGAAAGGCTTCTATATCAGTGGGCACCGCTCTTGAGTTTTTTCCTTCAAGAAGTGAAAAGAGATGCCACTGCAGGGTTCCAATTTCTGACCTACTACGACATTCCCAAAATGCCAGCACGAGCTGAAGACACTGAGCAGCACCAGTTCAGACAGAAGAGAAAGAAGTCTGTTGAATGAACACCTGTGCCTGTGAAAAAAGTTAAGGCTACTGATGTGTGCAAGACTGGATCAACTTGCATAACACGTGAGGAACGACTGTTCGTGTTCTTGTGCTCGGAGCTTAGCAAAGCTTGCTGTCTGTTTTTAAATAAAATTATTCCTGCTTTTGAGACAGTCAAATGCCGCCTACAAGCACTGGCACCCCTAATACACAAGCTACAGCCTATACTTCTAAACCTTCTTGAAGACATTCTTTCAAGGTTTGTGAGGCCAGCACTGCTAAAGTCGCACAATGACATCTGTTTGATAGACTTCCACAGCAGAAATGTGCAAAAGGATAACCAAGACTTGGTAATTGGACACCAAGCTGAGTGTGTTGTTGAAAAGCTCAAGCCAAGTGACAAAAAGGAATTTTTTGAGGCTGTTAGAAGGTACATAGTTGCTGCATGCGACTACATGCGCCTCAAATTTCCTTTTAGAAATGAGGCTTTGATCAATGCACGTATTGCGGATATTGAAGCTATGGATAACATGTCATTTAAGGATGTTCTTTTCTTTGTTGAGCGGTTTTCAGCGTTATTGCCACAAAACGAGCAAGAGACCAGAGATCAAGCTACTAATGCACTGGAAATGGAATTTGTGAAGATGCAGTCTTTCAAAATTCCTACAAATATACTGAAAGAGGAACGGGCCGATGTGCAGTGGAGAAAAATCCCTCTACTGAAAGGCGAAGATGGACTTATAAAATTCAGTCCCTTTGCTCAAGTGATGCTGGGAATCCTTTCAGTACTGCACAGCAATGCTGAATGCGAGCGGCAGTTCAGCATTGTGAGAAGGACTCGAACAGAGTTTCGTGCTTCCATGTCAGACAAGACACTTGGGCAACTACTTCAGGCCAAATGTCATAGCCGCGAACCGTGTTATTCACAGGTATATTCCGAGAAGTTTTTGAAGAGGGCCAAATCTGCACAACAAAAATTGGGCAGCAATGTAACTGCGAGTGACACAGCTTGGACTAGCGTGGCGCTAAGGTTGGACTCCACGTACAGTTTCTCCGTGCAAAAAAACAATCTTTTGGCAAAGTGCTGGAGTGGCAGTGGTGAACATTGTTATGCCCGACAGTGCTCGAAGGATTTCTCGAAAACTGTGGCTTCAGCCACGTCGAAGATTTAGTGGTGGTGACCACAGCAGGGTAGGTTGTTGGCGGTTTACAAAAACTATACCATTATTGTGCCATGATAACTCCATAAAAATTCAATCTTGAGAAAAAGCGTGTGAAAAAATTCCATCCCCCGTGACCCCCCCCCCCCCCCCCCCGGTTGCATCTCCCTAATGCCTGGCGGCCAACCTGGCAGGTATGCCATTGATAATCTCTACTCTGAAAACTCTAGTGACATTAATGTCACCTACATAGAGGAGAAAACGAAGTACAGTTTCATCTTTTCCTCTTTCACCAAAATAATTGCGCAAGACATCGCTGCTTTCAAACTTTCATATTTTGTTTTGTTTTTCATGTTTCAGCGACTTTGGCTCGATGAAATTTTCTGAAACTTGGCATACAAAGTGTATGGCAACTTCAGAGGACTTCATTTTTACTGATAACGGACTATGTATGACCTAGTAGGTGGCGTCTCCGTCTGCATTCTCTTCTTGCTTATTTTCGGGCTTATCAGATGCCTTCTTGTAACAAGCATGGTGATCTTGTAATTGTGACATGATAATTTGCAAATGTGAATCATTTTTCGACTTAGTGCCCATCCAAGACGAAGGGAGATTCATGACAGGGAGAAGTTTTTGCTGGTGCAGTGAACTATTTTATATTTTCACGAAGCTTTACTGCATCTTACAGACTTCACCAAAACTGGTTTACCATATTCAGTGTCCTTATTCTCCAAGTCCTCAATTCGCCTTCATGTTTCAGTCTACTAGCCTCCTCATTGACTCGGATGATAGAGCAACCACCCTCAAAAGGTATTGGTTGAGTGCTTGAATTTCGAACCACAGTGAGTTAATCAACTAGGTAACTGCGATTCTTTGGCCTTCATCCAGATGTTATTCTAGCTCCATGCTGTAAATCAGGTAGATGATAATCTTTCTCTTTAATGTGAGCATAATGCAGCATAACGTGGTTACAACAGATCCGCTTACAACAGACATTCGGTTACTACATACCGATTGGTGGCGTTATGCTGACCTCTCTATTTGTTCCATTGGTAGAACTTCATTTACTACAGACTCTGGTACAGTGGATATTCAGATATAATTGTCTAAAATGTGAGGCCTGCAACGTGGTCAGGAGTGCGGCTGCAGTGTGCATGGCCGTGGTGTTCGATGTTTCAAAGTACGATATGCTCGATTGCGAGCACAAAGATCTGTCCCGTAGTGGTCTTCGTCGCTAGGTTCGAAGCGCTGATATGTAGAACGTTCACACCAACCGGTCAACGCTATGACAATCGGTTCGAGACGCACGCGTGTGATGTTTGCGACGAGTAATCTGAAGCTGAACTTCCGCTTGCAGCTGCCTTAACTCAGGAAAACAAAACTAGCGAAAAATGTCACTAAGTAATACAATTTTAGACAGCTGTGGGCGCGTGACGCACAAGAAGCAGACGCCGCTATCGCCGAGGCATATCCGGAACGGGCATTGCACCAGAGAGGCTTACTAGAGCAACACGGCAGAAGCAACCATTCGGAATCTGCCGAATGAATTTCAACTATCTGCTTTTCGAACACTAAATGCTCTTTACAAAATACTTCTACGATGAGCTCCAAGTGGTGGCGAGCAGTTGGGCCGTCACAAAGCTATAAATTGTAGAAAAACGGCTTTTTTTTTTTGCCTTCACGATGATTTTCACCACCTTGGTGATCCTAAGAAACTTTTTACAGCATTTCTACGAGATAGAAAAAAGGCTACAGACACTGAAGAATGATTTTCAAGAAAAACAACTTTTTTATGCCCCATTAAGAATAAGTTCGACATGACTCGTGCTTATCTTTGGTTATAACATATCTATTCAGTCTTTCCGTAAAAGTCTGTAGTAACATTACTTGGATTTTATGTACTCCTTTTACAGCAGACCAAAATCCTCTTCACAATGGAGGTCTGTTGTTTTGAGGTTATATTGTACAAACATTTTTAAGTGACCTGGAACACAATTTTATTTTGGCCAAATAAGTTTGTGAATGAGTTGTGTGCACTACTCAAACAGTGTAATCCGAAGGTGCAGGATTTGTAGATGTATTATTTGGAATAAACGTTTAAGATCGCGCTGAAGCAAC